TAAGGATGGCGACCATAAGTCATGTCTAAATGTGAATGCAAGTAGTCCTTGCAAAATGACTGCCATTCATTGCTGCAAAATCGGGGGTCTCTATCACTGACTATGGAAGTGGGTGGTCCATGGTTAGTTAATCACTTCTCAGCAAACGCTGCTCTCACAGCGGGGACCCTAGCTTCCTCCGGCAAGGATGAATTCTGCGTACTTAGAGAACCTGTGAACACATACCATAACCTGACGCATGCCACGAGGGGTGCTTCTGCCCAGATCTGTGAAGTCAATAGACAGATTCTGCAGGACCATTAGGTATGGGTAAGGGTTTGAGTAGTCCAAGAGGAGGTCTACGTTGGACCTTGTTCCTCTGGCAAAGCTCACAAGTTTCAATATAGCGCAACATATCACTCCACATCTCCTTCCAGAAAAAGCGTTGCAACAGGGATGCATAAGACTTTAAGAATTCAAAATGACCACGTGCATCATGACGCTCTAACATCAGTAAAGTTCTGAGTGGTTGGTCATGGGGAATGCGCAATCGTACCTCACCATTGTTGTAAGTATACAATAAATCTGAACTCAGAGCATAGCCTGGTTCAAAATTGGGGTCTGCTTTCAGATTCCTAACTATGGGTCCATAAGTCGGGTCCTTAGGCAATAGTCGGGCAATGGTCTGGTGGGTTTCCTCTCCAAAGGAATGGGTAGAAGAGATGGCCGCAAAAGTGTCAAACCTACGAGAGAGGGCATCTGCTACCTTGTTGTCGTCACCCTTCTTATGTTTCAGTTCAAAGTCAAACAAATTGATGAACTGAATGTAGCGTGCTTATTTGTCATTTAACTCTCCCTGGGACTTCATCCACTGCAAGGTGGAATGATCATGATCTGAGAAGATCTTGACACGAAGTGTTACCTATCTACTTCTCCGAACACAATATCCCGAGTACCTAGTGCCTGCCCAGGAGAAAGTGCTTCCAATGTTTTAGCGCGCAGACAAGAGCATATAACTCTTTCTCATAGGTTGAATCTTGCAACTTTTGGGTCTTGATCTTCTTACTCATGAACTCGACAGGGCGCAAATCATTCTCATCATCCTACTGAAGAACTGCCCCAATGCCATACCGACTTGCATCAGTGGTCAGAATAAATGGCAAAGTGGGGTTAGGCAATTTCAGCACTGGAGCACGAGTCAAGACCATCTTGATTCGTGTAAATGCCATTTGACAGGGAAGGGACCAAAGAAAAGGAATGTCTTTCTTTGTTAGGTTAGTCAGGGGTGCTGCTACTGCATAAAAGTTTCTGACAAACTTTTTGTAGTAGGACCAAAGAAAAGTAATGTCTTTCTTTGTCAGGTTAGTCAGGGGTGCTGCTATTGCAGAAAAGTTTATGACAAACTTTCTGTAGTATGAAGCTAAACCCATGAAGGGACCGTACATCCCTCACTGTCTGGGCCTGTGACCAATCCTGGATAGTAGCAATCTTGGTTGCTTCAGGGGCCAAACCATCTCCAGAAATTACATGACCCAGATAGATGACAAAGGAGATTCCAAAGGAGGACTCCTCTCTGTTGATCTTATACTGGCTGCCACGTAAGGCCTGAAGGACTAGAGCTAAATGCTCCGCATGTTCCTGGGCAGTTTTGCTTAATACCAGAATGTCATCCAGGTAGACAACCATGAACTTGTCCAGGTAAGGTCTGAAGATGCGGTGCATTTCAGTCTGGAATGTGCTTGGGGCATTCCAAAGTCCAAATGGCATCACCAGGTACTAATAGGTACCATACCTGGTTTTGAAGGTCGTCTTGTGGACATCCTCCTCTGCTATCTGAATCTGGTGGTAACCAGATTTGAGGTCTAATTTGTTGAACAGTGTGCAACCCTGCACCATATCCAGTAGATCATCAATGCGAGGAAGAGGCTCTGTACTCTTTCTCGTGATCTTATTGAGACCCCTGTAATCGATGCACATTCTGAACTCACCATTCCCTTTGGGTACAAAGAGAACCGGTGCACCAAATTCAATGTGTTGGGTCTGATTCAACCTTTGTTGGTCAGGGTCTCAAGTTGCTTTTCAGAGCTCATCAAGCTCAGCAGGGGACATCCTGTACATCTGGCCCTTGGGAGGAACCGCTCCAGGAAAAAGCTCGATGTGATGCTTGGTTGGCCGTTGGGGTAGCCCAACAGGCTTCTGCATCAAATCTGCATATCGGTGCACAACCTGCTGAACTTCTGAGGGTCAGGAAGTAGGAACAACATCTGTTTGCTTGACTAATGCCAAGAACAGACGCTCGTGGTCAATTTGGCGTGAGAGAGTATAAAACTCCCTCGCTCATAAACAGTAGCAGCTGGTTTAGGGGTGGTGTTCAGCAGCAATCATGCATGGCTGAGACACCCCCTGCAGATTGGGTAGCTCAACCTTGCCTGCAGCCATTGCATAGAGAAAACCGAATCAAAGGGTAAATCAAGGAAGTTCAGACTATGTCTGACTTCTCCACGAGTGTCAAAGGTAACAGGGATGCCCCTGACCTTCTCCCTGATAGTGATGATGGTGGAGTTCCCTATTCGGACCAGCAACGGTTGCTGTAAAGTCACTGTCTTCAAGTTCAAATGAAGTTTTTGAACTGCCTTTGGAGACATAAAATTTCGGGTGGCTCCACAATCAAGCAGACCTTTGATTCGGGTATGGTTGATCAAGAGCTGAAGTAGAATGAGTTCAAATTTGGTTTTCCTCTGTTCCTTCAAATGAAGGAATAGGGAAGCAAACATTTGAGCTTCATGCTCCTCTAGTTTCTGATCAAGGTCAGTATAGAGTTCCTGATCAAGGTCAGGATCCTCATAGGCAAAGGATGCTGCCCTGACAACTCCTGCTGTTCGACACCCTGAGTCCCTCGTTTGGTACAACGGCCATAGCCAGGCGTTCAGAGCCCGCCATAGCTGTGGCGCCCTCTGAGCACTCACCCCTGAGGGTGATTGCGAGTCTTTTGTGACTGCCTAGGCTATCAGGAGGCTCTACACAGTGGTTTGTGGGTGGACTATTGTTGCTGCTACTTCATCAGAGTTACCGGTGCAGCATAGATGTGGCGCTGCAGCCATAGCTGCAGCTTTCATCGTCAGAGTTCCTACATCGGCACTGAGGACTTCATCGCTGGTCTTGTTCTTCATTTTGGTGGTTGGCGCTGGCCTCAAAGGCGGATTTGGAGTGGCGCAACTAATAGGGTGTAAGTGTGAGAGTGGAGTCTGAGGTTCAGTGGTGGCGAGATACTAGGATAAACTTTGTAACGATCATTGGTTCAGATTGGCTCATACTTGGCTACGTTCTTTTGTTATCCTCGCCGTGTCTTCTTATGATTGGTTGTTGGGAGTATCGTCAGAGAGTGGGAAACACTTTGTGTTATCTCCACACATGTGCATAACTGTTTTCCGCTGCTTACTCTGTCTGTGTGCAGTGTGCACTTTGTCTCCTCTCCCCTGCTTCTTGTGCATGTATGGGCATGTATGAGATTCTCTGAGTGCAAGTGTTGCTTGAAATCGACAGACAACCAAATTCATAACAGTTGATATCGGAGCGAGATAGGAACTAACTAATTGAGGGTTGAGCTCAATTGGGGGCATCTTCTTCATTTGAGGATCTTCTGGAGAGAGCTTCATAAGGATTCATCTTCTTCAGTACTGAATCAAGCGCGAAGAAGACTGTCAGGCAGTGAACTCAGGAGCACAGAAATCGGATTGATCGGGCGCTGCTTTCCTATCAGAGCGCCTGACCTTGAGTGGTGAGTGCAGGGCTATTTCGCCAGTATCTGGATGAGAGCCAGAATCGCGATCTGGCTCAGAGTGGCGAAATTCATTTGAGGGTTATGAAGTACTGATTGGCGGCTTCTCCAGGATCAAGCGCTGGAGAGGATTGACTGTCAGTGTCAATCTCACACCAAATTGGGCTTCCTAGGCCCTATTCCAATGTCAACGGTTGAGAGTGTCAGTAGCGAAATTTCTCTGCCTGCATGGCAATTCGCTATCTGACTAGATTCAATGAATCTGGCACTCTGGTGTGAAGCGCCTCAGTCCCCTCTACAAGATCAACAAATTTGGCGAGATTTTGTACGTGGAGATCAGAGGGAGAATCTCTGGAAGAAACTAGCGAGAAAGGGGTATACTGTCTGCCATAGCCAGAGCTTCATCTCTGTCTGCAAGATTTCACTGAAGTGAGTATGTTCCGTGCAAAACTCTGTATTGCGCTTTATTCAGGGTCAACAGAGTCAGAATTGATGGTCTATCTGTCAGTGTAGGTCTAAGAATAGATTGTCAAGACTGCATGACAGCCATAGCCATCTTCTTCCTCAGTCTTTGTTCCTCATATCTGTCCCTTTGGTGACTCTTTTTGACTCAAAATTGTCCTTTGACTACTTGACAGTATTGCGTTGGGTACTGTAAGTACAAATTGTGAATTATGTCTTGGAATGTAAATAGTAATTTTGCGTTGTATCTAGAAGCAGTCTATGCTTGCTAGGGTCAGTCATAATTACATTTATGTCCGCCAGAATTCATTTTTGTCAGTCTCTGGTAAAGCGCAATTTTGTTATAGTCATCTGGCCAAAATCGCTTGTCCAGATAATGTATATTTGAGTAACTACAATAGAAACTGTAATTCGCCATACCGATAGGTATGACTATCAGAGTCTCCAGTGGCGAAATTTGAGTCTGAGGCTGAACGAGGGTTCCTTGAATAACTCGATGTATCTTCCTGATCTTTGTTTGGTCGTACTTACCTCCTACATCTCTCCTACTGATTGCTTTTGTGTTCTAGTGGCCACTGCCGCACTGGAATACCAATGACCTCTTTGGAAGTCTGGAATTGACTGTACTAACTCCAATGTGGTCCAATGTCAATGAAAAGGAAATCGTGAGTTTGATTTTGTTGGACTGTCTGTCTGACTGACCCCTGGCCTCAAGAGAAGGCTTCCAACCCAAATCGCTTGTTGCCCATTACACCCACATAACTTTGTGTTAGAGGAAGCAACGATTTCTACCATTCTGAAGGAAGTTTGGAAATCGTTGCAGTCTTTGTGTGTTGTTTCTAACTTATTTGTTTGATCGAGGAAAAATGTATGACCAAGGAGCCCAGATGCAGCCCAAGGCAGAGGAAGTGAAGACAGAGGTACCTGAGACCTCTGCTCCACCTCCTCCCCCTTTGACTGCGACTCAGCTCAGAGTCGAGGAAGAGAAAGAGAGGTTGCGTCAGCAGCAGGACCTGATCGCAGCACTTCAGCAGCAAGAGGCAGCAGAGATGGAGGCTGCAACAGATGCGCCCCGTAGGATGTACCAGTTGGAGCAACTCGCCAGGATTGAGAAGGATGGCCGGACCTCAGAGGTGAACCAGTATGTGGCAGAGTGGTTCCGTTTGGACCACAAAGCCAACACCACCTACTTCACCAACCGGGATGACCGGATGGGGCGAGTAGAGCGCCGTCTCGATGACCTGGAAGCTCACCAAGATAAAATCCTATCCAAAATGGATTCTATTCTTGCTCAGCTTCCAGTAGTTGGCCTAACCCCTCCACCTCTCTCTCTCAAGCCATCTCCTTCTTCTTCCCTTGCTGGGTCTAGACATTCTTCACCTTTACTACAGCCATCCCCAAAGCTTGTTGTCACCAAGGCCCCTGTCGACTTGGTCGGTGACCAGCGGTTTCTTCCAAAGATCCCAACCCCCAACAAGTTCAAAGGAGATGATCCCAAGGTGGATGTTGGGGATTGGGCCGCTGGCGCAAGAGCCTATCTGAGAGGCTTCACCTGCGCTGAGGAGACAAAGGTCTCTACTATTATGCCTCTGTTGGATGGTCCGTCTCTGAAATGGGCCACATCTTCTTCCAACAACCAGAATAAACGTTTGGAAGACTGGGCTTTCGGACTGGGTGTAGACGGGCTTCTGCAGGCCCTGGAGGATCGATTTGCAGACAAGGAGCGAGTCCGCAAGGCGGCTGACAGGATTTGCAGACAAGGAGCGAGCCCGCAAGGCGGCTGACAGGATTTGCAGACAAGGAGCGAGCCCGCAAGGCGGCTGACAGGATTTCTCGCCTCGGACGGCAGCCGTATTCAGGGTCCCTTCACTCTTTGTTTGCCGAGTTCGAGCAGCTCACCTCCACCCCTGGGTTGGTCATGTCAACAGATGATTTGTTGACCAACTTTTGCAGGGCAGCGCCTGAGAAGTTCACTGCAGCACTCTACAGCTCTGGGTATAAGGACTGGAGGTCCTTTGGCCGCGCAACCTTGGACATGGAGGCAAAACTTCATGTTCAGGCCCCCTCTTCTGACAAGAGGAGAAGGGCCTTCCTTTATGGAGGGAAAAAGGGAAAGGCAGGTTTTGCGCATGCAAGTTCTGCATCAAGAAGCGATTCAGAATCCCAGCCTGCTACTTGGGAATGAACCACCTCCTGCTGCAGAAGTTGCAGCGGCCATGACTGATACCGTACCGGGAGTTTTAAAATAAAAATTCCCTTCCAGCGCTGCATCAACCAATAACAAAAAGGGGAAGGACAAGGGACGTCGTCCTTCTACCCCTGCCCAGAGACCTAACCTATTGAGAGACGTCCGGATGCCAGCCCACCCATTGAACCCTTCCACCCTTCCCTGGCATGATCTCAGAATCCAGGAAGGGGTCTAGCGGAGAAGGAAGGACAGGGGGTCTGCCTGAGGTGTGAGGGACAACACTTTGTTAAAGACTGCCCTTACATACCAAGCCCTGGGTCACAGCCAAAAAATTGAAGCAGAATCTCGAGGCAGCAACTTCAGTAGCGAGGCTAGTTACACCAGTCCTGCAAATTCATCTTCTGATAAGGGTGAATCTGCAGCTGCTTCAAGTCAATCGGCACTCCGCTTCCTTGGCTCAGCTCCACGTAGTACCAACAAAGAATGAAAACTACCAAAAAGCCCTAAACAGATCTACGATGATCTATTAATAGAACTAGACTAGACCTAGACTCAGACTGACCAGTACCGTTTCAGTTTGGGCCTCTAGGCACCTATCTACCTGGCTATAGGCTGTAGGACCGCTGCTACGGGCTAAGGCCTCGAAGGCCTCCCGTCCTAGTGATAGTCCAGGCCTGCTATTCGCAGTATAGGCTATAGGGGACTCGGGTCTGCAGATTTCCCGAATTTTAGATATGTCCCTCACGAATCTCCCCCTAAGACTGAACTCACGGTTAGTCCCTGACATCAACAAAATTATAAATCTAACCCTATGCTGTTATTGTACAGCCTTGCAGTCAGATCCTAGCAGTCAAATCAGCAAGTCATTGCAATTGGGTGGTGTGCAGGCAGTGTCTGTATAAGCTTACTGTGCGTTGACCCAAGGGGGTATGTGTCCAGCCGTGTGTCATTCTAACGCCCTGTCGGTGTCCATGAGCAAGGCTGCAATTGAGTTTTGAACCCGCAACCTCATACCACAATGCACATTTCCAACCGGTGCTCTAACCACTGAGCTACATCAGCTGGACAGTGTGACCCGGACATCCATTAAAATTGGAACGATACATAGAAGATTAGCATCACCCCTGCACAAGGGTGACACACATAAATCGAGAAATGATCCAAATTAAAAAAGGAAAAAAAAGTTGTTCAGCTAGGCTACCAGCCGGGGCGCCCGGGTGACCTTTTTTGCCCAGGCTGCCCGACCGTGCAAGGGCCCAAGTCAGTCCCAGCGAAATAAAAAAAAATTAAAAAAAAAAAAAATTGAAAAACAGTCCCAGCAAAATAAAAAAATAAAAAATCGAAAAATCTGAAAAACAGTCCCAGCAAAAAAAAATAAAAAAAAATAAAAAAAAATGAAAAAACTATGTTATGCAGAAAAATAAACTGAACAACTTTTGCCTCAGGGTCACATCAAAATTCTTTACCTCCCCCCCCAAAAAAAGTTAAAAAATAATAAAAAATATATATATTCTTCTAGTTTTTTTGACTTTTTTATTATTTTTGGCCCAGCAGGGCAAGTGGTCCTGGGCCACTCTGGTAGTCTAGTTGTTCAGTTTATTTTCTGCATAACATAGTTTTCTTTCTTGGTTCTTTTATTTTCGGATTCAGCCGGACGAGTCTCCAAGGGGGCCCCGAATGTTCGGCCGTTCGGGTTTGGTAGTTTGGCCGAACCCAGTTCGGGTTTGGTAGTTTGTCTAGACCTGAATGCCGGCTACCCTGTACGCGGCTATATTTTTGCGTTTCGTGCATGTGGAGAGTCACGTCAAAATCAGCAATTGAACCAGTGGGCTTAGTTCAGCTGGTACACGCATGAACTGTTGAAATTAAGACCTCAGTTCGAGTTCCCGTCAACAAAATGAAGAGAACAAAATAGTTTGAAGGGGGGAAAAAAATCAGCAACCGGCCTCGCTTCGCCGCTCTCGAAATAGGCAAAATGAGAACTAATCCGCTAGAACATGGAAATATACACCTCCTTGCTCCACTACTCGTGCACAAATGACAAAAAATATGGCGGTGTATCTACCCATGTTCTAGCGGAAGATTCATTCTCATTTTCACATCTCATTAGTGGAGCGAGGGCTCCTATGGTGAGGTCTCCCAGCTGTGTGCACCACAAAAAGACCAAAAAAAAAAAACGAAACGAACGGAAGGCAACAAAATAGTTTGAAGGGGAAAAAAAAGAAGAAAAAGGACAATTTTTCTTTTTCAGCAATGGCCTTGCTTCGCCACTCTCCAAATACGCAAATTGAGAACGGCGAGAACATGGAAAGATACACCGCCTCACTCCCGTACTCGCAGCAAAAAATGACTACTCATGACAAAAGGTATCGGGGTGTATCTTCCCATGATCTAGCGGAAGATTCATTCTTAGTGTGCACATCTCGTGAGCAGTGGAGCAAGGCCCCTTATCGTCACGTCTGCCAGCTGTGTGCACCACAAAAAGACAAAAAAAAAAAAAAAAAAACGGCGGGTCTGCTAGCTGAGGAAGGCGAACCCTCCTGCCGCTATGTACTTGTGTTTGAACATGCGGCGGGAGGTTCGTTGGGCCCGCCCTTTTCCCAACATCCCCTCCCAGTATTGTTTAACCGGGCCATAAAGGGGGGTCATGCAAGCCCCGGGTTTCTCCGTTCCATTTCCGGAAGCATCATTTGGGAAAGAGAACCTTGGGTAGGTGCTTTTGTACTTAAGGCGCCAATACATCACCTCAGGCAAACTTAGAATCGAAATTGAGCTGAACTGCAATGTGTGGTGAAAAGTGCTATCAGACCGAAATGGCTGGCAGCGCCAGCCAGAAAGGAAAAACAGTGCGCCACTGGCAGTTCAACAAAGCTTGGCGTGCAGTGCAAGTTTGTCATGGCAAAAAGAGGCTCTGATGTGCTAGTGGTTTGAGACCCCATTGCCACTGATGAAATCCATAGTGTGTGGTGGTATACACACATGCGAGGAGAAGGGTTGGCTTACTACAGAGGGAGGCTGGCGGCAGCGTGTGAATTTCCGAGTGCGCTTTACTGGCGGCAGGGGGCGCTGACGGCAGCTCGAGGGGGTGGGCTTCGAGGACACGGATCCCGTCCCTAACTCGGGGTTAGAAGGTGGCCATCTTGAACATTTTATGCGTGCACTTCCTTTCATCATATCTTGACAAGGGTGGTTGCTTTAACATTGACCCTATCATCTGGCTTAGCTTTTAGCACACAAGTAGAGGATTGCATCCTCAAACAGCGCTATCTCACCCGACCTTTCAAACATGGACCAAGCGCAGGGCTCGTCTCTGTCTTCACTCTTTCTCACCCTTGGACCTTTATCATTTTTAGACTCAATATGGATTAGGCTCCTAGGGTATCATTTTCAGACTCAATATGACTTAGTCGGATTAGGCTCCTAGGGAAGGGGGATTCTCACGTCTCTTCACCCATAGGTTCCCTAACCTCTCTCATGATCTTGCCACAATTCACTCAGTTCAGGACCAACATTTCATTTGTACTAAGTGTTTGCAATAGTCTTTTTCTCATGAAACAAATCCCTCTTCCAAAGGTCTCATCGAGGCTGTTTCCCCAGTTCTCATGCTAATGTCTTGGCCAATGTTATTTTTCATTTGGACATCTCGAAGTAGTCTTACTCAAAAGGTAGCAACTGGTGATGTTCATCAGTCCGCCTCGTCTTAGCTAAAACAAAAAGGACTGCGCATAACCAGATCACACACAAAAGTGACCCCTATGCCCAATTCACCATCCTTCTCTTTCACGTGCAACCTATGTACACAGTTCCTTTATCATGGCTCAACTTTTCCCACGGGTCCCTTGTCTCTTGGCTTCGTTAAGTTGTTCTGATCGAGAGAGCGCATCCCAGCCTATTTCATGGGGGAAAATCTCTTTTTTCCTTTCAGCGAACAATTCAAGTGTTTCTTCATTATAAAAAGTCAATGGCGTGACAGACTTGTCCCTCCTCATCCTCCTGGCCTTGATGATCGAGGTATGCGGAACTACACTAGCCCATTGATCGA